TACGGTCGTTTACTGCTTATCTTCTTTAAGTCAATTAAATGCATTTGCTCATTACTCCAACAAATTTCATAGATTATATTAGTACCGTTAACAGATCTATGTTCCCGTAATTTGTGTTACTTGTATTATTGCTCATTTAAGATAGAGATCCCGGATTTGAACGTGTACTGACGATACATAGGTACATGTGTACAAATGTAATTAATATGTGTGTGCTAATCTGTGTACTTCTAATTACATGGGTACACGGGTTTCAAGTACACTCGGTGCAGAAAGTATGTTGGCACGTTGAAAAATGGTCTATTTTTGGCTTTTCTTGATTGTAAATAGAATGTGTAGACTATTCGTTTCCCAGAATGTTGTGTCAGCATTTGTTGACACTGTATGAACAGATGAGGTTTGTCCTTAGTGTAAAATAAGTGTGTATAGTATTGAAGTGTGATTTAACATAATAATCTAATTTTATAAAGGTTAAGTACAATAATTAATATTTAAGTTATACGTTTTGTTTACCATTTTAATATTTGCAAAAAATGCCAAAAATTCGTGAACAGACACCTGCTGAGAGGTCGTAAATATTTAATAGACATTTAAAAGGAGAGATGCTCAGAAAAACATGTCTGATTTTAATATATCAGCAGAATGTGTTAGGAAGGTGGTAAACCGATTAGAAATCAACGGTACTGCCGAAAATCTTCCGAGACTAGGACGACCAAGGAAGACAACGGTGCGACAAGAGCGCATGATATTGAGAGAGGTGCTCAAAAATCGCAACATTTCTCCGAAACAGTTGAAATCTGAGTTGAATCTTCCTATTGAAAAAACACAAATCCGTATGAGAATAAAACAAGCAGGATATCGAAAAAGCGACCACTTATCAGTAAACGTAACGTTCGGGTACAATTATTATTTGCTAAGCAATTTCTGAATAAACCAATTGACTTTTGAAAGAATGTTATGTTCACGGATCGAAGTTTGATCTTCATTCGAACAAAAGAAGACAGGTAATATTATAATAAAATAAATAAACTATTATAATGAAAATAATAATCATTTATTGCCATGGCCAGCTTAAAACCCCAATCTGAAGTCCAATGAACATCTGTGGGATCATTTGGACAGAAATATGCCTGAGCACGATAGAAATAATAAACAATTATTTCAGTGAACGTTATTAAAGTCATGATCTGCAATTAATAGGAAATATTCCAAAAAGGCTTGAAGCAATCATATAAGAAATTGAGGTTACTAAACTTCATATTAAATGTGTACTTTTTGTTATTGCAAACTTTGTTTTTTTATATGACCAGTTCTTGTCAACTTATTTTCCACACCCGAGTCTTATAAATGACTGATTGTTTCATAGTCACTAAATATCTCATATAGTTTATTGTTAAATATATTTATTAGATATTATCAATTAATATGTGTCAATTATTTACTCCATTCAC